GTGACCATTGGTTTATATTTGTGACCTTTATAACGGCTGCAAAATCAGGGACATTTTTAGTTGTTGGTCCATTTCAACCCCTAAATATATTGCGGACATCTTTGAAGACAATAGGCCTAGCCCTTCCGAGCTTCACCCTTCCCTTGTGAAAATTTTCGTGAAAATTTCAGACGATAATTTCAATCTGTATATAATAATCCCAACCTGTGTTGTAAACTGAAAAAATATTCAAAATGTATACTTCAATATTATAAGTCAAATTGAAAAAATCGCATGCGATAAAAGACATGAAAAAATAAAAAATGTCTCAAAATACTGCAAAATCTATATTAACATCACAACTGGCATTTTTTATGCGTTTTTTTAGATTTTATGCTTTTATGCCAAGAGGGCATTCTGAATTGGCAAAATTTGTCAAAATCGGTCCGGCCATTCTTGAGATATAAGCATTCTAGCTAACATCCCCTTCCTTTGTATATACACATTGTATATATTTCGCTATATGTATCGGATATATTTACTATCGGCATCGACGTAACGGTCAAAATAGACCCGTTCGTCTATTTGTGATTTCGTGGGGATTAAAAATATTCACGGTTTAATGGAAAATTTGACTTTTATTTAACAGAAATGTCATGGTCTATTTCACCCACTAAATATTGCCCGATGATCATCAAAATTGGAGACTTCTAGCCACCTCTAAGCTCTAGCTCCATGCTAATTTCTGCTTCGATTGGTCCATAATTGCGACCTGTAGAGCAGCTACAAAATCAGGAAATTTTTCAGTTTTTGGTCCATTTCAACCCCTAAATATTATGCGATCATCTCCAAAAGAAATAGGGTTCTATTCTGACCCTAACCCCACCTCCATTTTCAATTTCGTCAGGATCAGACCATAATTGCGACCTGTAGAGTGATTACAAATTAACATGGACAGACGGACGGACGGACATACATAGCTAGATCGACTCAGCTCAGCGAGACAGAAAGAAACATATATACTTTCTTATGTGGGAAATCAATATTTCGTGGTGTTACATAATTTTTGGCCCAATTAAACTTAGTGTTGTAGGATATAATGAAAAATTTATATCAAATTTTATGCGAAATAATAAATTCCATTTTCATTTCTGGTTTCTAGTTGAGAGAAATATTTAGATATAGCAATGTCTTACTTGTTTTGCAAATATTGCAAATAGTGACCCTTTGACCCATTTCCACAATAGACCTTGCGTTAGCAAACATCTTTGTATGTGTGAAATTTAAAGAGAGTTGGATGCTTATTTCGCTTTCTTGTACCGTTTTGTTTTTCAAGACCTTGAACCCTATGTGCAGAAAGTACCAGAGGAAGTGGTCCGATCTCTACCATAGCAGATCTTGTGTTGATGGGAAAATTAAGATGTATCAAGTCTAAATGGAATTGGATATTAATTTCGCGTTTTATGAGGTTCATGGATATTCAAAATTGTAATCCTTTGTGAGGGAGGTACAACAAGGAATGGGCCGATATATTCCATCTTCACACCAGGCTTTGGGTTAATAAAAATATTGTGATGTGTGTGATTTGGAAGACAATAGGACTGTTACATCACATTTTATAAGAGTTATAATTATTCAAAATGTTGACCCTTTGGGGGGTAGATACTTGTCCGATATTGAATATTTTCGCACCTGACCTAGCACTGGTGCAGATATTAGGATTTGCAAAGTTGGAACCAAATCAGATTATTCTTTCTCTTTCTGTGCAGTAAAATATTTTTTAATGTTGACCTTTTGTGGTGGAGGTACCAGAAGGAGTGGACCGATATTATCCATCCCTCGATGTTAGATTGATAATAATATTACAATGTATCAAGTTTTGACTAAATCGGATACTACCTTCGAGACCCTGCAGACAAACAGACAGACGAACGGACGGAAAGCGCTAGATCGGATTTGGTCAAAAGGTGCAAAAACCGTTATTTCGGTGAAGCACGTTTTGGCCGTATCGAATGATATATACCCTCTCCTGCCCTATGGCTGAGGCTATAAAAACGGTTGTCGATTAAACAGAACAATTTCAATTTTCATGTGAAAGCTTCTCGAGATTTTTATCAGAAATATGTATATTTGGATATATTTCCACCGGTAGCTATTAATTCAAAATATTCACTCTAATTTAACATTTATATCCTGAAATCCACTTCTCCCCCTTTCTATTATTTCAAAACGATATTTTTCCACTAATGTAAAAAAAAAACATATTTTTTGTTCATAAAAAAATATTGTGGTTGTATATTGCTATTGTGTGGAAAATGTTTCGGAAACTTATTGTGTTTATTAACTGTAAAAAGGCCGGAAGAAGAAATGTCCTTTATGCTTTTTTAACAGACAGTAACGAAAGCCACACGAACCAAAGCAAAAGCATGAAAAATATGTTCAAATGAAAAGTTTTGGTAGAAACGTTGCACAATCGGTTGAATATGTAAACGATGTTTAATTCGTAGTAGGTTTTTCGATGACAAACAGAATGTGGTGATTAGAAGATTAGGAAATCTAAAATATGGTTGAAGGTTGAGCTTGCTTTGCAATGTAATTATAAAACCGTATTTTTAGAAAATCTTATTAAAAATATTAAAAGAGACGCAGTATCTTACTACTGGTATAATTATTTTACTTCACAGGCTGAGATAAAAAAACTGCAACAAAGTCAAACGCCATAATTTTTACATTTTTTTAATTTTATTTATTGAAAGCAAAAACTGTCGGAAATAGCATCACATTTTAGAATAAGTTTAGATTTGTTTGAATTAGGCACCATTGGGACGAATTATGGTCTACAAACGGGCAATGAAACCGTCACACGCTGACCCAATGTTGCTCTGCGGTATTTTGGTCCATTGTGAGGTAGGTGAGTGTAAATGAGATCATTTGGTATTTGCTCTTACCCGCGCGGTTTGGAGTGGCTTTGGAACCATAGCTGCAGTACAAATGGATTTATAGGTCCTATGATATATCTGCATTCAAAATCTTGCCAAAATTAATATATTCCCCTAAATTGCTATTTTTATACCCTCAGCCATATGGCTACAGAGGGTATATATCATTTGATACGGTTAAAACGTGCCAAGTAGAAATAATGGTTTTAGACCCGAGGTCTCTTTGGATCCGTTTCAGAACATTTTGAGTCGATCTACCGACGTCCGTCCGTCTACCTGTCTGGTGCGCACGATAACTCTCGAAGGGAGTATCCGATTTGATTCAAACTTGGTACATCGTAATACTATTGTCAAACTTAGATCGAGTTCGGAGATGAGCAATATCCCCTCCTTCTGGTACCTCCCACACAAAATGTCAACATTTTCAAAGAAAATAATTTATTGCACAGAAAGAAAAAGGATAATCCGATTTTGCTCGAACTTTGCGAATCCTCATATTTTCATCAGTGCTAGGTCATGTGCGAAAATGGACAATATCGGTCTACTCCATCAGGGACCTCCCCCACAAAGGGTCAAAATTTTGAATTATTAAAGCTCATATAAAATGTGATGTAAGAGTCCGATAGTCTTCAAATTCCACACATCTGGTGCAAAAATGGAATGTATCGGTCTACTCCTTCTGGTATCTCCCCCACAAAAGGTCGAATTTTTCAAAAAATATTTTTTGCACAAAAAGAGAAACGATAATCCGATTTTGCTCGAACTTTGCGAATCCTCATATTTTCATCAGTGCTAGGTCATGTGCGAAAATGGACAATATCGGTCCACTCTATCAAGTACCTCCCTCACAAAGGGTCAAAATTTTGAATAATTACAAATCTTATAGAATGTGATGTAAGAGTCCGATTGTCTTCAAATTTCACATATCCCAATACTTTTATTAACCCAAGGTCTGGTGTTAAGAGTTTAATGTAGCGTTTATATTTAATCGCAATTGTTCACATGTAGGTCCGAACCGGCGCGCTAGCTCGCTCGCTCGCTTTCTTGCATGTATGCATGTAGCTTTTATGTGGTTAAAATACATTTGCTACCATTATTTGTTAGCTGATTTTTTTCTTCCAGCCTTTTTTTTTTCGTGTGTACATATATCGTGCTCTTTGTTTCGAATGCTTAATGTCAAATATTTAGTCTTCAAATTTCACATATCCCAATACATTTATTAACCCAAGGTCTGGTGTTAGGAGGTAATACATCGGTCCACTTCTCTTGATACCTCCCCCACAAAAGATCAAAATTTACAAAAAATATATATAAAATATAAGTAAATCACGCATATCTAAATATTATTACATATCTCATATAAAGTGAAGGAGTGAGTCGATATAATCCATACTAGGAACATCGGAATATTTATATCATATTTTTGGGTCCGATACGAAATGGACAATATTGACCCATTCCTTCGGAACCTGCTCCATAGAGGGTCAAACGTTTGAATAATTGTAGCACTACTCAAATTATATTTAAACAATCGAACACAGGCTGAGGGTATATATCTGCCGGCAATACCGACTGATACTTTTTACTAACTTGTTCGTAAACACATCGCCGTGATGAAAATGTTGCATGTGCTTTTCACAAATAATAAATGTAAGTCTTTTATTGTCGATTCGATTTGCATAATTTTTCTACTTGTTTTTAAAATCCTTATCATGACCTTTCATAAATTTAGCGTAAATAACCTTTAAATTCGAATTTTTTAAATAAAATTCTTTTCTATTCCAGACTGTCTGTCAATATTTACAATTTTCATCCAAAAAGGTAGAAGAAATTGAGCAGTAACGAATTGAGGGCCTAGTCAATAAAGCTGCAAAACCTCTTAACTTTTAGCAACAGCATTCCATTGAATACGGCCGATGAACAAGTAAATTGCGTTTAAAAGGTAAATTTAATAAATATTTGAATTCAGTATTTTTGCAATTGTTTTCATTCTTTATTTGGGGTTTCCGGCTGTTCGGCGGAAAAAAGGTAAAAATGAATGTTTCTCCAAAATAAACAAGAAAAAGCCTTTTATTTACTAACCTTTCTTTACATTTCAGCTGATGTTGCAGACATTGATGAACTCAGTTTTATAGAAAAAAACGTTTTTTTTTCTCCCTTTTGGTTGTTGTGGCTGGATGTTGTTGAAGCTGTAATTGTGGAACACGTTTTGGGTTTATTGGCCAGCCAGTGGAGCTGCTATGGCTTTAATTTACTTTTCACTTCAAGCGAAATTTTTTGTTCGTCTGATTTTTTTTTTCTAGTTCAGTTTTGAAATTTCCACTTTAATATTTGATATCATACCTCGCCACTCTGGTGTGTTCCATAAAACACATGAGTGCGGGTGTATTCCATTTTGTAGTTGTGGCGAGTTCATCAACAGCAGCAACAAAAACTGCATTGCATTTCTACTTTTTTATTTATTTTTCAGATTCGTTGAATCGTATTAGTCGTCGTTAGTTGTTGTTGCTGCTGTTTGCTGTTTGGACTCAATGTTCATTTCACAACATTTCAAGTTTAATGTAGCGTTTATATTTAATCGCAATTGTTCACATGTAGGTCCGAACCGGCGCGCTAGCTCGCTCACTCGCTTGCTGGCATGTATGCATGTAGCTTTTATGTGGTTAAAATACATTTGTTACCATTATTTGTTAGCAGATTTTTTCTTCCTGCCTTTTTTTCGTGTGTACATATATCGTGCTCTTTGTTTCGAATGCTTAATGTCAAATATTTAGTTTCAACGTTAGTTCTTTTATTTTTATTTGTATACATTTCACTCCGTTTGTAGCGTTCTCTTTATAATATATATTTTTTTTTCTGTTCACATAGTGGCGTTTTTGATACTCTCAGCTAGGTTATATTTTTCGCAACTTTTTTAATTTATTTCATAGAACAATAAACCCGTAGCTACCTAGAAAAGAAAAAAAAAAGAGTTCATATAATGACTGTATTAACAAAAGGATACAAAATGATTGTGTTGTTTATAATATGAACAATTAAACACCAGCGACGAAAAGAACATATATCCGACAAGGCCGAATATAAAAGACACTATACCAATGGGCGTATTTCGAGCTCTACCTGAAAAAAAGTTTATATTGGGAATGTGTAAAGCACATCATACTTATTTACACACATCTTTATTTAAACAAAAACGTAGTATCTCAATATGAAAAGAGCATTTCTTGTCAAGACTGAAGTTCTATGGCATTAGTACTCATTATTAGGTGCAACAAAAAACAAGTAAGCAAAGGATATAGTCGTGCGGGGCCGACTATGTGATACCAACAACATGAATACAACATGTTAAAAGCCCCCTTATGTCCTAATCAAAATTACAGAAGATTTCGCTTTTGAAATTATGTCACGTAAAAAAGCCAGAAGTTCGCCTTTGTGTATTTCGGATATCGCCTGTAAGTAATGCTTGAATTTATTCACACAAAAGTTGTGGTCCATTCTACCCGCTGTCCTAGACACTAACTTCATGCGAGATTTCGTGTCCTTTGGTTTCTATTTGTGACCTTTTTAACGGCTAAAAAATCAAGAAAATTTTTAATTGTTGGTCCATTTCAACACGTAACTATATAGCGAACATCTTTTAAAGCAATAGGCCCAGCCCTTCTGAGCCAAACCCTAACCTTACGAAAATTTTCGTAAGGATCGAACGATAATTGCAGTCTGTATATAATAACCCCAACCTGTGTTGTAAGGTGAAAAAATGTTACGAAATATACTCTTCAATATTAAGACAAATTGAAAAAATCGCATGTGATAAAAAAATTTAAAAAAAATAAAGAAATGTCACGAAATACTACAAAATCTATATTTACATCATTATTGGCATCCTTTTATGCTATTTTCTTTAGATTTTTTACTTTTATGCCAGAAGGGGATTCTCAATTGACAAAATTTTTCAAATCGGTTCAGCCATTCTTGAGATATGCGCTTTCTAGCTAACATCCCCTTCCTCTTTATATATACATTGTAAATATTTCGCTAAATAAATCCGATATATTTAATATCGGCATCTACGTAACGGTCAGAATTGACATTTTCGTCTATTTGTGATTTTGCCGGGATTAAAAAATATTCGCGGTTTAATGGAAAATTTGACTTTTATTTATCACAAATGTTGTGGTCTATTTCACTCTCTAAATATTACCCGATGACCATCAAAATTGGAAGATTTCTGGATTGGAAGATTTCCCAGTGCTAATCTCTAGCCCCATGCTAAATTCCGCGTTGATTGGTCTATAATTGCGACTTGTAGAGCAACTGCAAAATCATTAAATTTTTCAGTTTTTTGTCCATTTCAACCCCTAAATATTATGCGATCATCTCCAAAGAAATAGGGTTCTATTCTGACCTCAATCCCATCTACATTCTAAATTTCGTGAAGATCGGGCCATAATTGCGACCTGTAGAGTGATTACAAATTAACATGGACAGACGGACAGACGGACAGACGGACGGACGGACATACATAGCTAGATCGACTCAGCTCGGCGAGCTAGGAAGATCCATATATACTTTCCTATGTGGGAAACCAATATTTCGAGGTGTTACAAAATTTTTGGCCCAATCAAACTTATAATACCCCCAACACATAGTGTTGTAGGGTATAAAAACACACTCTTCGCCAAAAGACTAATAAACGGCACATGTCTATAGGTTTACCCATCACATGCCAGCGACTTTAGACACTGATTTAAAAAGAGGTCGCCTGGCTCTCAGATGTACGGTTGCAGTTATTGATATAAAAATTGCAGACACGTAAACCCGATTGAACTTCACATCATAAACTCCATTGAACTTCTTATATTTGTCCTCGGTTTTTGGCATATATATATATCAAATTATTTGGGTAAAAATTCATAGAAATAACCAATTTAAATATTGTGCCTCAAAACGTAATAAACAGTTTTCTGAAATATACAGAAATACAAAATGGCAATATAGGCAGAAATTTAAAAAAGAAACAAATAAGTAAAGGTTATATTCCAATCATTTGATACCCTACAACACTACCCTTTTGGCTAGAATGGAGATTCTCCAAAAAAACACCACATTTTCGTAGCATTTGCTCCATGTTTACACCCTAGGTTGTATTAATGGGTATTAAAAACAATATTTGATTTTGATTCTTCCACAGGGTGAGATAACAAAAAAAAAAAAAAAAAAAAAAAAAAAAAAAAAATCCCTTAATACCCTCCACCATTTGGAACGAATTAGAAAATTTTCAAAAAAATAAAATCCAATAAAAATTCTTTTAAAATCCTTAAAATATCTAATATAGAAAGGTGCCGATATATGGGAGGATATACGATATTGTGGACCTATAAAGACAAATCTATGTCTGCGTGTAAAGTACTCACAAGGAACTTCGTGTGTGGATTTTCAGACAATACGATTGGAAAATGTGGCTGAAATCATCAAAATACCGAATATCGCGGGGTACCGTTATATGGGGGCTATACGATATTGTGGACCTATATAGATAATTCTCTGCCGAGGTATAAAGTACCCACAAGGAACTCCTTGTGTGGATTTTCAGACAATTCCGTTGAAAAATGTGGGTAAAATCATCAAAATACCGAATATCAGGGGGGTACCGTTACATGGGGGCTATACGATATCGTGGAACTATATAGATAATTCTCTGCCGAGGTACAAAGTACCCACAAGGAACTCCTTGTGTGGATTTTCAGAAAATTCCGTTCAAAAATGTGTGTAAAATCTTCAAAATACCGAATATCGGGGGGGTACCGTTATATGGGGGCTATACGATATTGTGGACCTATATAAATAATTCTCTGCCGAGGTATAAAGTACCCACAAGGAACTCCTTGTGTGGATTTTCAGACAATTCCGTTGAAAAATGTGGGTAAAATCATCAAAATACCGAATATCAGGGGGGTACCGTTACATGGGGGCTATACGATATCGTGGACCTATATAGATAATTCTCTGCCGAGGTACAAAGTACCCACAAGGAACTCCTTGTGTGGATTTTCAGAAAATTCCGTTCAAAAATGTGGGTAAAATTATCAAAATACCGAATATCAGGGGGGTACCGTTACATGGGGGCTATACGATATCGTGGACCTATATGGACAATTCTCTGCCGAGGTATAAAGTACCCACAAGGAACTCCTTGTGTGGATTTTCAGACAATTCCGTTGAAAAATTTGGCTAAAATCATCATAATACCGAATATCGGGGGGTACCGTCATATGGGGGCTATACGATATTGTGAACCTATATAGATAATTCTCTGCCGAGGTACAAAGTACCCACAAGGAACTCCTTGTGTGGATTTTCAGAAAATTCCGTTCAAAAATGTGGGTAAAATTATCAAAATACCGAATATCAGGGGGGTACCGTTACATGGGGGCTATACGATATCGTGGACCTATATGGACAATTCTCTGCCGAGGTATAAAGTACCCACAAGGAACTCCTTGTGTGGATTTTCAGACAATTCCGTTGAAAAATGTGGGTAAAATCATCAAAATACCGAATATCAGGGGGGTACCGTTACATGGGGGCTATACGATATCGTGGAACTATATAGATAATTCTCTGCCGAGGTACAAAGTACCCACAAGGAACTCCTTGTGTGGATTTTCAGAAAATTCCGTTCAAAAATGTGTGTAAAATCTTCAAAATACCGAATATCGGGGGGTACCGTTATATGGGGGCTATACGATATTGTGGACCTATATAGATAATTCTCTGCCGAGGTATAAAGTACCCACAAGGAACTCCTTGTGTGGATTTTCAGACAATTCCGTTGAAAAATGTGGGTAAAATCATCAAAATACCGAATATCAGGGGGGTACCGTTACATGGGGGCTATACGATATCGTGGACCTATATAGATAATTCTCTGCCGAGGTACAAAGTACCCACAAGGAACTCCTTGTGTGGATTTTCAGAAAATTCCGTTCAAAAATGTGGCTAAAATCATCAAAATACCGAATATCGCGGGGTACCGTTATATGGGGGCTATACGATATTGTGGACCTATATAAATAATTCTCTGCCGAGGTATAAAGTACCCACAAGGAACTCCTTGTGTGGATTTTCAGACAATTCCGTTGAAAAATGTGGGTAAAATCATCAAAATACCGAATATCAGGGGGGTACCGTTACATGGGGGCTATACGATATCGTGGACCTATATAGATAATTCTCTGCCGAGGTACAAAGTACCCACAAGGAACTCCTTGTGTGGATTTTCAGAAAATTCCGTTCAAAAATGTGGGTAAAATTATCAAAATACCGAATATCAGGGGGGTACCGTTACATGGGGGCTATACGATATCGAGGACCTATATGGACAATTCTCTGCCGAGGTATAAAGTACCCACAAGGAACTCCTTGTGTGGATTTTCAGACAATTCCGTTGAAAAATTTGGCTAAAATCATCATAATACCGAATATCGGGGGGTACCGTCATATGGGGGCTATACGATATTGTGAACCTATATAGATAATTCTCTGCCGAGGTACAAAGTACCCACAAGGAACTCCTTGTGTGGATTTTCAGAAAATTCCGTTCAAAAATGTGGGTAAAATTATCAAAATACCGAATATCAGGGGGGTACCGTTACATGGGGGCTATACGATATCGTGGACCTATATGGACAATTCTCTGCCGAGGTATAAAGTACCCACAAGGAACTCCTTGTGTGGATTTTCAGACAATTCCGTTGAAAGATGTGGGTAAAATCATCAAAATACCGAATATCAGGGGGGTACCGTTACATGGGGGCTATACGATATCGTGGAACTATATAGATAATTCTCTGCCGAGGTACAAAGTACCCACAAGGAACTCCTTGTGTGGATTTTCAGAAAATTCCGTTCAAAAATGTGTGTAAAATCTTCAAAATACCGAATATCGGG